TCCTTTGGAGGTGATGTGGTCATATTTTATAACATAATTGGAGAAAAAGATAGCAATACAGAAAAGCAGAAAGTCAATCTTTTGGTGATAAATATTTCTTGTGGCACGGACCCTTTGTGAATTTTAAAATTGAATTTAAGAACCCTTTTTGTCATTATCTGTATTTTCAACCTTAGTAAATAAGTGTGACCCTAGAGTCAAGGTGTTTTATTTTTGACAAAGCATTTTAATTATGTGTTTGTGAGCCCAAGACTAAAACAGGATGGTGGGAGTGATGGCATATTACCATTTGCTGGAGCCATTCTTGTAAAACAAATGATTTTTCTTATATGATCTAAAAATATGCCAATTTCAGAATATCTATGTTAAAGATGCAAAATATGCATGTGCATACATATATTTATTTATAATATGTAGTTTATAAATTTGCTTAAACTTCTTCACCAAAGGGAGCAGAATAAAAGCGATGTTTATGTTTGAAAATATTAAATGTCCAAAGAGCTACATTATTTAAAAAACTAAAATTGTACTTTTGTTTATTATTTGAAATAAGTATATTATGGAGAAATACATATTTTTTAAAACTGCATACTTCTATAGTGCTAATTTCTTAATGTAATGGGAACTTGATCTAATCTGCAAAACCGTGTCATTTCCAAAACTTTCTAATAAAAGTAACATGTCATTCAGTTAGGCCACCATTTATGAGTAATTGTTCACGTAAAGATACTACACGAGATACAAAGATGAACAAGGCACTATATTTGGGAAAGCAATACACGCAAAAATTATAGTTAATCTTTCTGAAAATAACGAATAATTTTTCTGAGAATTAACAACGTGTTACGTATTTCTATTTCTCTTTCTCTCAAAATGAAACTATCTTTGATTTATTTCCTGATAATAAAGCAAATACAAGTCCATAATAAAACTAATTCAAGCAAACACTGCTCTGTGTAGTAGTGAGGGAGTCTCATCCTTCTCGAACCTCCTTACCTGTCAACCCTCTCCCTCCCCACCCTCTGCTCCAGTGCTCCCACTCCACAAAGGTAATAAAAGTTTGATGCCTGTGTACACGTCTACATGGGTATGTGCTCGCACATGTATGTACTAGAATATGCAGCACTTGGTATGGAGCTCAGTGTCTAGCACATGGTAAGCACTCAAGAGAAGTAAGCTAAATTATAATTGATATGGGATGCAGTTGCATGTTTGGTTTTATAACTTTTTTTAAATTTTATCTTTTACCCTATAATATGACAGGAATTTATTTTCACATCTCTCTTGTATGTTTTAATGGAAATTTAGTATTCATTTTATTGTTGTATCTTAATTTGTTAACCAAGTTCCTCTTTTTTTTTTAATTGAGGTATAATGACATACAACACTACATTAATTCCAGGTGTCCAATATGATGACTCGATATTTGTATGTATTGAAAATGATCACCACAATATGTCTAGTTAACATCCGTCACCATACATAGTTACAGAATTCTTTTCTTGTGATGAGAACTTTTAAGAACTACTCTCTTTGCAACTTTCAAATATGCAATACAGTATTATTATTTTTTTTTTTGAGAAAGATCAGCCCTGAGCTAATATCCATGTTAATCCTCCTCTTTTTGCTGCGGAAGACCGGCTCTGAGCTAACATCTATTGCCAATCTTCCTTCTTTTTTCTTTTTTCCCCCAAAGCCACATTAGATAATTGTATGTCGTAGTTGCACATCCTTCTAGTTGCTGTATGTGGGATGCCGCCACAGCATGGCTGGACAAGAGGTACGTGGGTGCACGCCCGGGATCCAAACCCGGGCCGCCAGTAGCGGAGCACGCGCACTTAACCACTAAGCCACGGGGCCGGCCCCGCAATACAGTATTATTAACTACAGTAGCCATGCTGTATGTTATATCCCCATGACTCATTTATCTTATAACTGAAAGTTTGTACCTTTTGACCACCTTCACCCATTTTACCTGCCCCCCTCCACCTCTCGCAACCATCAATCTGTTCTTTGTATCTATGAGCTTGGTTGTTTTCTTTTTAGATTCCACATTTAAGTGAGATCATAGAGTGTCTTTCTCTGTCCAACTTGCTTCACTTAGCATAATAACCTCAAGGTCCATCCATGTTGTCACAATGGCAAGATTTTCTTCTTTTTATGTCTGAATAATATTCCATTGTATGTATATACCACATTTTCTTTATCTGTTTAGCCATCAGTGGACACTTAGGTTATTTCCATATCTTGGCTACTGTAAATGCTTCAATGAACATGGAGGTGCATATATTTTTTCAAGTTAGTGTTTTTGTTTCTTCAGATCACTACCCAGAAGTGGAATTGCTAGATCATATGATTGTTATATTTTTAATTTTTGGGGGAGACTCCATACTGTTTCCCATAGTGATTGTACCAATTTACATTCCCACCAACAGTGTACAAGGGTTCCCTTTTCTCCACATCCTTGCAGCATTTGTAATCTCTTCTCTTTTTGATAATAGCCATTCTAACAGGTGTGAGGTGATAGCTCACTGTGGGTTTGATTTGCATTTCCGTGATGATTAGCGATGTTGAGCATCTTTTTATCTACCTGTTGGTCATCTACATGTCTTCTTTGGGAAAATGTCTATTCAGATCTTCTGCCCATTTTTTAATCAGATTTTTTTTTGCTATTGAGCTGTATGAATTCTTTATATATTTTGGATATTAGCTCATTATCAGATATATGATTTGCAAATATTTTCTCCCATTCAGTAGGTTGCCTTTTCATTTTGTTGATGGTTTCCTTCGCTGTGCAGAAGCTTTTTAGTTTGATGTATTCCCACGTGTTCATTTTTGCTTTTATTGCCTTTGCTTTTGGTGTCAAATTTAAAAAGTCATCACCAAGACTGATGTCAAGGAACTTACTGCCTATGTTTCCTTCTAGGAGTTTTATGATTTCAGGTCTTACATTCAAGTCTTTAATCCATTTTGAGTTAATTTTTGTGTATGAGTAAGATAGTGGTCCAATTTTATTCTTTTACATGTAACTGTCCACTTTTCTCAACACTTTTTATTGAGAAGACTGTCCTTTCCCCATTGTATATTCTTGGCTCCTTTGTAGTAAATTCATTGACCATATATGTGTGGGTTTATTTCTTGGATCTCTATTCTGTTCCATTGATTTACGTGTCTGTTTTTGTGCCAATACCATAATGTTTTGATTACTATAGCTTTGTAATATAGTTTGAAATCAGGGTGCATGATGCCTTCAGCTTTGTTCTTCTTTCTCCGGATTGCTTTGCTATTTGGGGTCTTTTATGATTCCATACAAATTTTAGGATTATTTGTTCTATTTTGTGAAAAATGCCATTAGAATTTTGATAGAGATTGCATTAAATCTGTAGATTGCTTTGGGTAGTATGGATTTTAGCAATATTAATTCTTTCAGTCCATGAGCTTGGAATACCTTTTTATTTATTTGAGTCTTCTTCAATTTCTTTCATCAGTGTCTTATAGTTTTCAGTGTACAGGTCATTTACTGCTTTGATTAAATTTATTCCTAGGTAAACTTTTTGATGTAATTGTAAATAGGATTGTTTTCTTAACTTCTCTCTCTGATAGCTTATTATTAGTGTATAGAAACTCACCTGATTTTTGTATATTGATTTTGTATCCTGCAACCTAACTGAATTCATTTATTAGTTCTAACAGTTTCTTTTTGGTGGAGCGTTTAGAGTTTTCTACGTATAATATTATGTCATCTACAAATAGTGACAATTTTGCTTCTTCCTTTCCAATTTGGATGCCTTTTATTTCTCTTTCTTGCCTAATTTCTCTGGCTGGGACTTCCAATACTATGTTGAATAAAAGTGGGGAGAAGAGGCATCATTGTCTAAATCTTTAACTTAGAGGAAAAGCTCTCAGCTTTTCTCCATTGAGTATGATGTTAGCTGTGGGCTTATCTTATATGAGCCTTTGTTATGTTGAGGTACATTCCCTCTACACACACTTTGTTGAGAGTTTTTATCATAAATGGGTGTTGAATTTTGTTGAATGCTTTTTCTGCATCTATTGAGTTGATGATATGATTTTTATTTTTCATTTTGTTAATGTGGTGTACCATGTTGATTAATGTTGTGGATGTTGAACCATCCTTGCATCCCTGGAATAAATTCCACTCTTCATGGTCTAAGATCTTTTTAATGTATTGTTGAATTAGGTTTGCTGACATTTTGTTGAGGATTTTTCATCTATGTTCACCAGGGATATTGGCCTGTAATTTTCTTTTCTTACGGTGTCCTTGTCTGGTTTTGGTATCAGGGTAATGCTGGCCTCATAAAATGAATTTGGAAGTATTCCCTCCTCTTCTATTTTTTAGAAGAGTTTGAGAAAGATTGATATTAATCCTTCTTTGAATGTTTGGTAGAATTCACCAGTGAAGCCATCTAGTCCTGGACTTTTGTTTGTTGGGAGGTTTTTGTTGTTGTTGAAGAAGATTTGCCCTGAGATAGCATCTGTTGCCAATCTTTGTCTTTTTGCTTGAGGCAGATTCGACCTGAGCTAACATCTGTGCCAATCTTCCTCTATTTTGTATGTGAGATGCTGTCACAGCATGGCTGATGTGTGGTGTAGGTCTATACCTAGGATCTGAACCCATGAACTCAGGCCACCAAAGCAGAGCACGCTGAACTTAACCACTACGCCATGGGGCTGGCCCATGTTGGGAGGTTTTTGATTACTGATTCAATCTCCTTACCAGTAATCGGTCTGTTCAGATTTTCTATTTGTTCATGATTCAGTCTTGGAACATTGTATGTTTCCAGGAATTTATCCAATTTTTTCTAGGTTGTTTAATTTGTTGGCATATAGTTGTTCAAAGCAGTCTCTTATGATCTTTTGTCTTTCTGTCAGTGGTAATGTCTCCTCTTTCATTTCTGATTTTATTTATTTTAGTCTCCTCTCTTCTTCTTGGTGAGTCTAGTTAAAGGTTTGTTAATTTTGCTTATCTTTTTTTTTGCAGTTTAACAATCATTTATTAAGAATTCACTGAGAACCAAATTGTTATTGTTCTTCCTGTCACCTCCAATTCCTTTTGTCACAGGATTGAGGAAAATAATTAGCCCCCTACAGAGTCATCAACAAAGATAAGTTAGGGAGCAATATATTAAATTCCATTTAGTGCTCTTTGCCTAGTTCCTATTTGTCTTGTACCATGATTCAGTGGCTGGTTGCTGGGTGCACTTCAGTGTTCAGTCAAATACTGGTTTATATCATTTCTGCTTCCCGAAAAGTACAGGCAGCCCTTGTTTACATCCCAAATGCATTCCTGAAAACCATACCATGTAGGGATCTGCGGTGATGCAGATCACTTTCCCCCTGAAGACAAGTGTCATAACTGAGGGTCATTGTTGTTTTCCAGCTTCTAGAGGCTGCTCGCATGCATTGGCTCATGGTCCCTTTCCATCTAGAATGTCACAGCAAATCAATGGCTTCACAAAGTTTTATACCAAACTGAAATTATTTTAGAGGATACATCTCTCTTCATTTTTATCTCTATTTTATATAATATTAATTTTCGCTTTATGGGTTTTTTTTGGGGGGGTGAAACACAAGAAATAGATTTTCAAATTTCTTCTTTATTTTGTTCTCATATAAGATCTCTCTCTTTTTTGTGCATGTGTGTCTTATTTTTGTTACATGATACTGCTCTGAAAATTTTCTTGAGGCCACATTTTAATTATAGGATTCAAATTTAGTGTCATTTGAGAGTTATAAATATGTGTCCAGAGACTTAGGATGAGAGTTAAAAAATTAAATCAATATTTTCATTTCCATCTTGGGTCAGACAGCAATAAAGAGAACAAATGACCTAACGACTAAGGTTCAAACTAGGTTACAATTAATGGTTAATTGCTTCTCCGTGGAAATAAAAATGATGACTGTTAATCTATAAATTGATTTCTATAGATCTACAGTGATATATTGATACATCTGAATCATTTCTGAGGTGTTTGTGCTTAATAAAATAGGAACCTAAAGCAAGTAGCAGTTTACAAAAGAAAACCATTAACTGACATAGATTGATATATAAGGCTCCTGTTTGTATACTTCAGGGGATATGGACGGATAAAAATTTAATCTCTAGTGCATTTTATAAGCTATAAAGGAATATATCACTTAGCTGTGTATATTTGAAGATATGCTACCTCAAAACACAAGAGAGAATCCAGAAATACTTTACCCTAAGAGAAAAGAGGACGTTGTGAAATATTTAGAAATCAATGATGATACTCTTTAAGAAACCAATAGTTATAGAATGTACAATATTTGGAAGTGATGCCATTAATATCATCATATGATAATAGGTTGATTATTTAACAAAGTTAAAACAGCAAACAATAATAAGAACAAATAGTATTGTATGTGAATAACCAGAATTTTTTTGGTTTCATTTTTGAAGAAAATAACAGAGTTGCAGTTATAGGCATTCATATTTTAATTAACTATAAGAAAATATTGGTTTTGTTTTTTTTCCTTTTTTTAATTAATAAAATTTATTTTCTAAAGCAATTTTAGCTTCACAGCAAAATTGAGTGGAAAGTACAGTGAGTTCCCATATATTCCCTGTCCCTACACATGCACAACCTTCCCCACTATCAACTTTCCCCACCACAGTGGTACATTTGTTGTAATTACTGAACCTATATTAACAAATCATTATCACCCAAAGCCCATGGTTTACCTTAGGGTTCACTCTTGGTGTGCATTCTATGGGTTTTGACAAATGTATAATGGTGTGTATCCACCATTGTAATATCATGCAGAATGATTTCACTGCCCTAAAAATCCTCTGCCTATTCATCCCTTTCTCCTCCCTAATCCCTGGCAACAACTAGTCTTTTTACTGTCCCCAAAGTTTTGCCTTTTCCAGATTGCCATATAGTTGGAGTCATATAGTATGTAGCCTTTTCAGATTGGCTTCTTCCATTTAATAATATGCACTTAAGTTTCCTTCATGTCTTTTCATTGCTGGATTGCTCATTTCTTTTTAACACTGAATAATATTCCATTGTATGGGTGTATCACAGTTTATTTATCCACTCACATTCTGAAGGATATCTTGGTTGGTTTCAGGTTTTGGCAATTATGAACAAAGCTGCTATAAACATCCATGTGTAGGTTTTTGTATGGATATAAACGTAAGTTTTCAAATCATTTGTGTAAATACCAAGGAACATGTTTGCTGGATCATATAATAATATTGTGTTCTGTTTTGTAAGAAACAGCCAAACTGTCTTCCAAAGTGGCTGAACCATTTTGCATTCCCACCAGCAATCAATGAGAGCTGGTATTGATCCAGATCCTTGCCAGCATTTAGTGTTGTCAGGATTTTGGCCATTCTAATAGGTGCGTAGTGGTATCTCATTGTTGTTTTAATTTGAAATTTCCTAATGACATATGGTGGTGAACATCTTTTCATATGCTTACTTGCCAACTATATATCTTCTTTGGTGAGATGTCTGTTCAAGTTTACACCCATTTTTTTAATTGGATTTTTCATTTTCTGCTTGTTGAATTTTAAGAGTTCTTTGTATATTTTGGATAACAGTTCTTTAGCAGATGTGTCTTTTGCAAATATTTTCTTCCAGTCTGTGGCTTGTTTTCTCACTCTCTTGAGGTTTTGTTTTTAGCACTGTCACAGATTTATTCTTTTTGTCAATCTTTACTGTCATTGAAATAGGATCATGGGAGAGAGGCAAGATAAACATGGGTGTTTAGTCGACTATTTTGAAGCAAATGTCCAGATCCTTTTAAACAACAGGCAGTAGGAAAAAACTAGACTCCTTTCAGAAATATTTGTTGAAACAAGTTTGTTTTGTTTCGCTGTCTTTTATCGAGAGCTTAACTGTGAGCCACACTCAGTGATAAATTCTTTATATACATTCCCTCATTTAATCTTCATGTTATCCTCAAAGGCAGGCATTACTGTTCCCCTCTTATAGAAAGGAAACTGAAGTTCAGGAAAGTTAAATTATTTGCCCAATTCACACAGTTAGTAAATGATGGATTTGAATGCTAAACCTATAGTTGATTGTGCCAGAAGCTATATGCTGTTAACTCTGCATATTGCGTCTCTATTCTCTTTCTAAATTAATACCATCATTATCCATTTAGTCTGAATATCTAATACATTTATCTGCAAACACTTATTATTATTACCTGTTATGGGCTGGGTTCTTTTTCTAGATGTTGAGTTTATATAGATGAATAAGACACAGTCAGCATATATTCTTGTCCTCGAGGAACTCCTAGTTCAAAGGAAGGTAGATAAATAAGCTGTTAAATTACAGTACAGCAAATGCAATAGAAACGGTGTTGTGGCAACCTAAAGGTTGAATATTTATAACAGATTAGCCCATCAATATTCAAGACTAAAGTGAGTAAAAAGTAAATATATTAAAATAATAATTATTATTTTACACATAGGACAGAGAAAACATTTCCTTTAATTTGGACTGAACAAAATATAAGGAAATACTGAGCCACCTGGCCTGATTGGAAATACTGGACCATCAAATCGCATCATAGTCATGATCATTGTTCACCCAGCTACGTATCATTCCATTACAGAAAGGTGATGCTAATGAGGACAAGTCAAACCAGTTGGAGTATATGGGGAATAGGTAATACGCTTTTCTCTCGTTTTCATTCTAGGCAAAAATACTTCACTTGATCATGAAGAAGAAATTAGACTCTTTTTTGGATCAAACCAAGGTATTTCCCTACCATTTTTCTGAGTCTGAATATTACTGTATTAAAAAATGACAATTCCTAAAATTTTCCACGTAGCTTTACACTTTATTGGAAACAGCCAGGAAAACACTTCAAAAGTATCCAAACTTACGTGATTTCTTAACTCTACAGTAACCTCAGACTCTCTCAAAGTCAGTTCCTGCCTTAAGTATTCAGAGAATGTGTGTCATTTTGGTTTCTTTTTAGATCCAGGGGAAGTCAAAAATACCTTAAGACACCAAAGATCGCAGAAGTGTGATATATCTATACCATCATAGTGAGTATTATGCCCTTATTTTAGCCTTTTTTCAAAAGCAATCTGACTTTATATAGATGTATTTTAAGTAATAATATTGTAGCTGAGAAAGAGGATTCAATGGCTTTCCCATAGGCAACTTTATAATGTATGAAAACATAAACGAAGACTAATTCTGCGTGTGTGAAGGTGACAAGGGGTTACGTATTTAGCATTTTCACCAGGCTTAAGAGGTAACTTTAAAAAAAATTAACTGGGAACCCTGGCTTCAATCACAAGGGATAGGAATGGTTGATGAATTAGATATTATGAGACAACTCACGTTTTATGAACTATTAAAAAATTTTACCAAAAGAAAATGGACCAATCTCATAATGGTATATTGCAACTATTACAATGCTAATGGTCTCAGAAAATACTTTAAGAATTGTGTATAGTAATATGTATGGCATGGGATTATTTTGTTTGTGGCACATTGCTTTAGTTTAACATTTAATTTATAAGATATGCATGGAATCCTGCTTCTTTGGTAAAGTTCAATGTAGAATTTAAAGATTGCAGAATGTCCTTTGTAATTGATAAGACCAGACAAAGAACAGAGATAAAGATCTGTGATTAGTGAGGTCTTGAATTCTTTTAAAGGTCTTGATCACCAAAGGTTTGACACAAAGTAAAACCTCAAATCAGTTATTTTTTTTCTTGTTGGCTGATGTGGATAAACTGGAGAGGAAGTTGAAAAGTGGGCAATTGAGAAATGTGTATGATATGAATCATTTGCGCAGGTAATTTTATCTATGAGAAGTTAGAAGATTTTAAAATTCCAATTGAATTACTTGGTTGTGCAGGTCTGTTTTCTAACACACAAGTAAATAACAAGATGTGTGGTTAGGAGGATTTAACCTCATGCCACATGTTTGTTTGTGTGTCATAAAGTGAAACTGACTGGCCTCAACAGCCAGGGAGTTATATGTGTGGTAACTGGAAGGAAACCACACTGTGCAACAAAAGGATGTTGAAGGAGTTAGAAAGCAAAATTAATTTACAATCTTGCCAGCTCTACATTGTTGTTAACCAACATCACTTAATGCTATCAGAGTATGTATTTTCAATATTTAAATATATCTATAAGGGAACACCTCTTAGTGATCAGTTTAATCGTATAGAGAACCATTTTCCTATGCTTTTCCTCTTTTTACTCTACGTTATCTTCCGGAGTGACCTTATACACACTCATGGCTTCAATAATTGACTGCGTTCTAATGTTTCCAAATCTCGACTCCCAGTCTAGCTATATCAATGACATCCTGCTTACTGGCTGTCCTCATTTGGATGTCCCATGCGTACCTCAAACACATCTTAAACTACACACATTTTCTCAATCTTCCCCTTCCTTCGAGGTTCCAAGTATGCTTCTCTTCCTGTGCTCCCGATCTCAGTAAATAGTACCAGTATCCACCCGTACAGTGAAACATTAAACCTAATCATCATCCTGGTTCCTCCCTTTTTCCTACACCCAATGGACCACCATGACTATCACCTAACCAATTCTATCACCTAACTGTGTCTCAAAATTGTTCACTTCTCTCTAATCTCAATACCATTACAATAATTGAGACCCTTATCCAATTTCTCCTGGATTACTGCAATAGTTTTTTAATTAGTGAAAATATCATTTATGTAATATTTTTTCAAGATGTCTTTATAATTAAGCCACCATTATTATGCTATTTATTATACTCAAGCAGACTGTATCTTATGCCTTGGTTTTAAACAAAAGTTTGGTATTGTTCTTTAGCTGTGAATGACTAATTTAGGCATAAAAGTCCCATCCCTGTATATGGCTAAACCCATATATGTGCAATGTGTACACCTTACCCAACAGTGATCCCCCATCTCAACTATGAAGTCAGCTTATTGATGGTTCCCAAAATGCACCATTTGAAAGCTTTGATTTTAACTCAAGCTCTTATCCAATATTAGACTGCTTTGATAGCTGGAGAATCATTTTCAGCTTATGCAAGGAATGCCAGCCCAAGAGGGAAATAGGTAGGACACTCATAGTGCACGTGTGAGTGTATGTATATTTAAGAAATAGTGTGTCTACCCAAGTCGAGGGTCATAATGATTTCCGAGAAGCACTTCTTATTGGAGGAGTTAGAAAAATAATGGTACAAATTTTTTGAAAGTAGAATTTGTATCCCCACATAAGAAAATATTGCTTTTCTAAATATGATTCTTACTTTTCAGTATTGAAAAAAAGATATTTAATACCATGTGCCTATATCTCAAATAGTGTGATAACTTAAACACATCTGTGTTGTTCAGCACCTTTTATAGTGAGCTGCATGTATGGCCTCTCAACTTGCGCCATTTGAGTTAGCATACTTTTATTTATATACAATATATGATAAATACTCATAGGGGATAGGTGAATCAGATACGGCTCCCATTCTGGAGGAAACTAAAACTAAAAGTTGATTAAAAGTAAGAAGAAGATAGCAGTACACTCCCTCTAATCCATAGGAAAGATTTCAGACCACTGGGTTGATTGATTGATTTTCATTCAGCACGAACATGAGAACATAGTTCTTCAGTGCTTTCCGCTTCTGTAAATCTGACCATAAGCCATAGGAAAAGCTATTTCTTTTGAGACGTATAATTTTATACACTGTAAAAATCAGATGTTGGTTTGGCCTTTTCAATCAACTGTTTGACAAATTCAATGAGTAAAACATGAATAATCACTTAAACACGTATTTGGTATGGCTTTGAGTAAAATAATCATTGATTTGATATTTTGTTTTTGTTGTTCAATTGGTTATTAGATTATGATTATATATTTTTCTCTTTCTAGACATAGTCTAATTTCAAATATAAAATTAAAAAACAAATAAAAAAATACCCCACGATGCTTTAAATATATACATTCAAATATCCACCAGTAGGTCCATCAACATGATGTCATTCACAGAGGAGAAAAACTGAAGCCACTTGTCAGCTCTGCAGTACTCCTAATTGCAAACAAGTGTGAAGAATTTTGAAGTTAATATGTAAGAGACATATGAAAGTTCTTATGTAACTTATGAGAGTCCCTATGTCCTATGTTTCACTATAAATCATCTTCTTACAACATTTTTAATGAATAAAGTAACCACATCTTGTCACAAAAACAAAATGTAAAAAAAAAAATTTGAAGACCACAAATATGATTATTTCAAGTTAAGACTACACCATAATTTTGTGTCTTTATATATGGGTTGTTTAGTCAATGACTCTACTTTGCATAGCCAGCTTTCTAAAATCAGATTTTTTATTACTTGAAGATAATGCAGTATAGATGATGTGTTGGCAAGAGTCAATCATAACCTTAACTAACTAATTGTAGGATAGAAATGTTATGAGCTATACAAAAACATTCTATTTTTCTATACATAGACACACACTGAGTAAACGCTTCTTTAATCTGAACTTTAAATTGGTCACCTTCCAAGTAGAGCCCTGTACATTAGCATAGTAAATAAAATAGATAACAGTGTATAGTGTGTGTTATTTATATATTTACGTATTTTATTTAAATATATACTTTTTATATATACAGTTAGATAGTTAATTAATACTTTTGTTAAAATAAGTAAAATAATATTTCAATCATTAAAAAATGTGGTTGATTTCTTGCCTTATTGAAGACTAAGATTTTAGCATAAATCTGAGATTATTTTTCTGAGTACCTTGGTGCTATTCGTGGGAGGCTTACTATTTTTATTTAAGAAACTCAATGAAAGAGCCTTCTGCGGATCAGCCAGTGTTCCAAGTACTTCACAAATATTAACTCAGTTAACCATCCTGACACCCCTATACAGTAGGAACTAGGACAATGCCCCATTTCCAGATGAGGAAGTAGCTTACCCCAGGCCAGACAGCTAAGTGACAGAATCTGGCTTCAAAATTACTCGAGTCCACATGCCAGTTTGGAAAGGACTGGCAGCCATATCTAAGCAGGTTTCATTGATTCATTTGAAGTCAAGGGCACAGAAAAGATTACTCAACCCTTGGTAGCTGGGTTGCAAGACATCCAGGGACCTGGAGTCTCAGCCTCCAGCTGTCACTCTGTGTTATCCAAGAGTCAGAGTCACATCTTACCTGCCCTCCTCTTTAGGCCATGTCTGCGGAGCACCCAAAGAGCAGGCAGTAAAGGGAAACTTGCCATCAAGCAGCAGCCGTTCTCTTTAGGGGATGCAAAAATGACCCCTTTGTTATCTTTGACTCCACAGCTACCGTGACATTATTCGGTTAGCCATGGTTACAAACTGGTTTTTGTGGTAAGTCTAAGCCTGACTTGTGCAATTCTTTGAAGTCTCTGCCAAAACTAGAGATTTGAGTCTCTCTGTCAATCGCCCCCATTAATGATGTAAATTTGTGAATTTATTTAGCTATAGAGCTTCACAGACTGAAGTTTAAGCTTGTTTCTTCCAGGAAAGATGGGGGCCTGCTCTGTATGGCTACAGGATGTTTTTCACTGTCTTCTAGAATTTAAGTTAAAAAAAATTTAGTTTCTGTTTGTGTAGTGATGATGAATTTTAGATTCTTCACAAAGCTTGAGGAAAACACACTACACTTTTCTGGCTGTAAGTGAAGGCTCATTATGCTATAAGGGAAAACAGGGCTTTAAAGGACAATTACTATATTAGTATGTAACTTTCTTTTTTCATTTTACCACAGAACTTTGAATAATAGAATTTAAGTGGTTGTTTTGACTTAAATTACTCCTACCTCTTACATTGCTGTTTAAACACCCTGAGATCACCATGTGTGTTATTTCAGAAAGTGAAGAGCCCCCCAAATTGCTTCAGAAATATTATAATTTAAATTTAGTAATTTCCCTCATGAATAATAGAAAAGTTGTTCAAAGATAAATAAAGCTTGTGAACTGAGGGGTTTTATTCCACGCTAGGGAAGAAAACTAACGTTTACTGAGTGTCCACAGTAAGCCAGACATTTGGTCTCGCTTAAACCCCACACCAAATGTATGAGATGGATATTTCTTCTCCCTGTTTTATTGGCAAAGAAATTGAATCCCAGAGATACTAGGTAAATTGCCTAAGGGCACACAGGCCCTAAATTGGATCCAAACTGGGATTATCCTGACCTCAAAAACTGTGGTCTGTCCATTACAGTACCATAAACTTTGGGATTTTAAAAAATCTTGGTTATTTTCACCTTTAAATTAATCATTGGTATTGACAATGCACTTTAAAGAAAGGAATAATTTTCAAGAGAGAGCCACTTATTCCTTTCATTGGAGTTATGGAAATCATGTTGTATATTAAGTATAATTTACCTTGGCAAGTGCCATGGTTTAAACTGAGTGGTATTAGCGTGCTCAGTTAAATACCTCTTTGGAAACAATTAAAATGTAGATTAAAGTCCAAGTGTGAAATGTGAGCCTTTGTCTCCTGCCTCCTTGTGGCCCCAACGCACAAAGTGCAGTGGGACGCGCCTCAGAGTCCTCTTATGGATGGCTGGAAGGATTACACAGGAGTAAGCAGGTGAGAGGCATCAGGTTTACAGCTCACAGCTTCCTTGATCTTCAGTCCAAAGCGGAGGTTCAGAGTAACTGCCAACAGAAAAGAAACCATTGTACAAGAGAATTGCTTAAAATACTTCAGTTGCTCTCCCCGCATGGTGGAGTCAGTGTTTGTGGTTTGGAGAGCTATAATGACGGTTTGAAGCTGTTGTACCAATTCGAAGAATACATATCTCTGTAACGTGGTGTGTTTTCTTATCTCGAAGAGCATGTGTTAAAACAGTTGAGGTATGTTGACAAAGTTGCATCTGTAAGGAAAGCACAAGTCTTAACATTTCCTCACTTCATAGTTTGTGTGCAGTTGGCAATGTGAGTGTTGATAAAGAACAATGTTAGTTCCTGTTTGTGAAAGATGATCAGTTATGGATTTATTTCTAGTTTTGTCTATCTCTTCACAGCTATGAGCAAGACTGTTCCAAATTTCCATTAGATTATAGAAAGTTTATTACTTTCTTAGACAAATAAAATACAAATACAATTTCACCCTGCAAAGAGATTATTAAGCTAATGTTGCAAAAGACTTATTAATCTTATGATGGTCAACAGTTCATAGCACTCAATAGAGAAATTCAAGACAACTTGATTTTAGAACCTACTAGTGTCTTGCAAATCACATACAAAGTGCCCAATAAATATTTGTGAAGTAAATATACATGAATATAGTTCTTGCTGAGAGTTCTCAATCCTCAGTTGTAGTTCCATTTTTATGTGTGAAGTGGAAGTATTTATTTCTGACAGTTTTGGGCTTATCTTTAAAAGATCCTTGGGCACTTTAGACAAAAATAACAATATTATTCATTATACTGATGACGTACATACACAACACACACTCACACAGAACCGCTAACCATGGACTTCTTGCATATTTATGAAGGGAAAAATACTTGCTTTGCCTGTAGCTTAGTAATGAATATCTTCTCCTTTTGACCACAGAGGAGGAAATGCCCTACTTGTTACTTACTATGGATGTTTACCTACTTTCTTAGTTATGGTGTACAAAACTGTTGGTAGCGTTTCTGGGTAGGCCGAGTTTCCACAAGTGGGCCACATTTGGGCAGGGTTGTCCTAAACAGCCAGTTCATAGGGTCCAAGAAGAAGCTACTCCAAATTTTCTTTGCCACTATGAGTTATTTTAGTATTTTCCGACCAGGATTAGTTAGACCCGGAAGGCTCTCCTAGTCCCTTACAGACAATTCAGTTAAAATGTTCATGCCCACTTGATGCATAGTTGAGTAGACATATCTGAGAGTTTTCATATTACTTATCTCTTCCCTTTCACTGTTGATTTAATTCTCAATTTTGCCTAAATATCTGACTTCAAGAACTACTTCCTAATTTATACCTTAAATGTGCCTGGTAAGAAGCTTGATAATGAATTTATTGAGTAAATGCTGGGCTTTGAACAGCATTAACATCTCACTGAGGAAGAAGCACTTAGTTTCTAACTGCTGACAAGTTAGGTGTTCCTAATACAAAAGTTGGTTTTTATTGCAAGGAGATGCTTTGTGATTTCACATATGTAATTAGTGAGATATGGAGACTTTACCAGGGAGCAAAGACAGACAAAAGTGAATAGGTGAGCAGAATGGAATGGATAAAGAAGGCAGATTAATGGGGCAAGAAAAAGAAAATATATTCTTTTTAAAATTTTCTGTAATATCTTTACTTAAGATACATGTTGAAGAGAATTTTGTTCACAGCTGCAAAAGAGATTCAGAAATGAATCATAGAAGAAAAAGAAATAGAAAAGGTAATGAATTATGGAAAATGGGGGAAAAATGGGAGGGAGAAAAATGATATAAGGGAGATGAAAGAAAAATGTCTAAAAGAACAAAGGAATTTATGAAAAGGCTGTAAATCTTCTGCCCTTTCTTCAGTCTTGAGAATCCTCTGGTCTTATATTTTCTGTTTCAGTTGACAGGATGTACATTTATAGACTGTTGACCTAGTAACTGAAACCTTTGCTTTTTTCCTCTTCTCAAAATTCATGAAATGTGAAGTTAGAAGAGAGAAGTTTGTTCCTAGCCACTTAAGAATGCAAACCTTAAACTGGGGGCAGTTGTAGAGATTCAAAATATTCTTTAATAATCCAAAGTGACAAAACTTTAAAACAATTAGGCTATTCCTATTGGCTATGGAGATTTCTTAGAACTTACTCTGCAGTATATTTTAATGACATCAGTAACACCGGAGTGAGAACCACTTCTAGCTTTACAACTACTTTAGAATTCTTCCAATAAGTTAGTAACTACAAGTAACCCAACAGATCTAAGGAAACCATGACTATGTTCCCTGAATTGAAGAAATAGCTCTCTACTGGAAAAGTGTCTCTTTAGCAGCAGAAAGCCAAGGCCGAAGTGGTGGATTCTGGGGCCAGGCGGTCTGGGCTGGAGTCCCAGCTCTGCCTCTTACTGTCCAGGTAACCTTAGGCAAAGTCATTTCTCCTCTAGGAAGGTGCTCGCTGTGAAGGTACAATCTCACAAAGTTGGGCTATTGAATGAATTAATGGATGCAAAGAACTCAGAAGAATGTCTGACATATAAGAAGTATTTAATAAATTTATTAGGATGCATTGTTCAATATAGAAAGGAGTAAAAATCACTTCAAAACATGAAATAGAAAGCCATAAAAGAAGTAAATAGGTATGTTTGTAGTCCGTCAAGGTGAAGATTATTTTTAAAAAAAAAAACTATCAAAGTATCTTCCACATAATTAGCAGTTCAATAAATATTTGCTGAAAAGCTGGGAGGATAAAAGAATAAAACATAAAACAAGAGCTATTCACCAAAAGGTATTTATTGAGATCTAATATCAGCTTATAGCTGCATTAGATCTGTTTTGGTTGGAGAAAAAAATATATGATTTAACTAATTTCTTCAAGGTTGTTTCAATTAGTTAAAGAGAGAAAATCACATATATGACAGACATAAGATGAGGTTTTGCAGGTAATAGGCATTCAGTAAATGAATGAATGAAAAAATCTGAAATAATTATAAATGATACTAGTAATATATAGAACTATAAGGTAGGCATTCAGGGGATCATAAGAGCTGAATGGGTTGATATAGTTCAGAAAGTGGGACTCAGGCTGATATTTAAAGAATGTGTAGATTTAAGATTGTCATTCTCAGCCCTGGTTGCACATTAAAATAGTGAATGCCCAGGTCCCACCCCAAGAAAATCTTAGTTAACTGGTCTGAGGTGAAACCCAGGCATTTATACCATTTAAAAGCTACAAAGGTGATTTTAATATTAAGCCAAAGCGAGAATCCCTGGTATAAATGGTCAGAGAAAACAGAGAAAAAATTCCAGGCAGGGCTGGTGGGAGAGGAATGGTGGTGTAGGGGAATTTTTGTGCAGGGCCATGAAAAGAGGTGTAGTGGCTCAGAAAGTAGCTACATTGAGGCTAGTCTAGCTTAATTTTGGGATAATAAAGTCCTAAACTGGAATGGCCTGGACGAGGAAGGAAGTGACAGATATGTGGTTCTCTCATATGCATGGGCTTTGACTTTAGACAGACCCAGCTTAAAGTCCCTGGGCCTCAGAGGTTGCATGTCTCTATATGCCTCATATTTCTCGTCTATAAAAGGGATGTGGCTCTCTCGTAAAGGAACAGAAAGGACATGGTGAACAG